ATTCTTAGGTCAACCCTGAAGGGTCACATACTCAAGTGGCCATGATTTAGAGGAGAATAGTCATCTTGTTTGTGATATACTGTCCCTTCTACCATGGAACGTAAAGTGAGTCCCCTAAGAATCGGATCAAAAACCACTGAAAAATAACACCAACACCAGAATTTTTCAAATTCTCCCCAGAATCCACCAAAAACCAGGGCTCTTGGGTACACTGGTGCTTGAATAATGCATCTGCTTTGTCAGTTTAGGTAATGTAGGTCTGCCCCTGAGTAAGGGCTTCCCGGGTTCCAGTTACCTGTATCACAAGGATCACTCAGGCTGCCAGTCATACTTCAGAGAAAAGCACAAATGAAGAATAGATAATGTAATCCTGTCATTCTAAGTAAATTTCAATACAGTGCCCTCTTGTATCTGTTTATATGTGTTGGTAAGGCATTCCACACAGGACTTCTTTAAAAGATTCTGCTGAGTCACCGGGCACGGTGGACCATGCCTGTAATCCCAGTGACTCCGGAGGCTGAGGCAGGAGGATGGCGAGTTCAGAGCCAGCCTCAGCAAAAGTGAGGGGCTAAGCATCTCAGGGACACCCTGTCTCTAAATAAAAAAATACATAATAGGGCTGGGGATGTGGCTCAGTGGTTGATAGCCCCTGAGTTCAATCCCTGGCACCAAAAAAAAAAAAAAAAAAAAAAAAAAAGATTCTGCTGATAAAAAGTTTGCAGAGTACTCTCCTACATTCTCCAGGACACCCTCCTTTTCACACATCCAAGCCAGTTTTACAGATTTGGGTACCCAATATTCAAGTCTTTCCAAAGAGTTAGCTAGCTTCCTCCTTGGAGTACTTTCTCCAGATAGGACAAAAAGCTTATCCCTCTTTGCTCAAGGTTGAGCCAAGGATCCAATAATTAGTTAAGCATCTAGTTCTCCCTGATGCTCAGGGCAGTCATCTAAATAGGTTTTTTCCTGGCTTGCCACATTTCTCAAACTTGTAAAGGCAGGCCAGCCTCCTGGAAGTCTCATCCCCACCGCATCCCTGGCACCTCACTTTTTTTTTTTTTTTTTTTTTTTAGGTGTAGATGGACACAACACAATGCCTTTATTTTTATGTGGTGCTGAGAATCGAACCAGGGTCCAGCCAGAGCTAGGCGAACGCTCTACCACTGAGCCACAATCCCAGCACCACCTTAGTTACTTTCCATTTCAGATTTGGGTCAGTCTCCTAGCATTGATATCACAGCTTCTTTTTCCACTATTTTTTAATTGCTGAGAAATTATTTTTATAAAATGCTGAGATTTAGGGGGGTTGTGGCTGTGGTTGTGGCTCAGTGGTAGAGCGCTTGCCTCGCATGCGTGCGGCCCTTGGCTTGATCCTCAGCACCACATAAAAAAATAGATAAATAAAAAGCAACTTAAATTTTTTTTAAAATGCTGAGGTTTTAAAAATCAATAAAAAGTATAAAGAATCCTCACTTGAGCCAGTCATGGTCTTGTACCCCTGCAATCCTAGTGACTTAGGAGGCTGAGGCAAGAGGACTGCAGAAAAGCCAGCCTCAGAAACTTAGCAAGACCCTGTCTCAAAGTAAAATGTGCTGGGCATGTGGCTCAGTGGTAAAATGCTCCTGGGTTAAATCCACAGTACCCCCCACCACTAAAAAAAGAAAAGGATCCTAATTTGATAAACACCTGTGTATCCACCACTTAGGTAAAGAAATCTCACACGACCATGCACACTACAATCCCCAGGATATTCCTTTTACCTAAACTTACTCCTTTTCCTCTCATCTCCTAGGCAAACCTTATACTGAAATTTGGGTTTATCATTCCCTTGAATTTCTGGATATATTTCCTACATATGTTTGAATCTGTAAATCATATTGTTTAGTTTGGTATGTTTTTAAACTTCCTATCAATTGATTCATACTGTATATATTTTCTTGAGACAATGTTTTTTGAGATTCACCTATATGGTCACAGTAGCTATAATTTATTGTTGCAGTGTTTTATGGTATTCGATTGTATAATATATCAGGTCTTAAAAGAATCCACTCTACTCTTGATGACATTTGGACTGTTGTCAGTGATTTCTATTATGAACAGTGCCGCTGTGAACATTCTTTTACATGTCTCTTGGTGCACATGTACAAGAGTTGCTTTAGGAGTGGCATTTCTGAGTCATAGTGAACCACGTTTAAATTAGCAAGATGATTCCAAACCATTTTCCAAAGCAGATGTTCCAATGTAACTTCCATGATCACACCACATCTTTGCCAGAACTTGATATTGCCCAACTTCCTAGTTTTTAATCAGTCTGTTATGTATATAAAATGGCATTATCTTGTAATTTTATTTTATTCGCAGGATTCCTAAAGAGGTTGAGAATATTTTCATATGTTCATTGGCCATTTATCTTTTCTTAAAGTTCCTGGTTTTTTTAAAGTTGTTGATAGACCTTTATTTTATTTATTTATATGCGGTGCTGAGAATCGAACCTAGTGATTCACACATGCCAGGCAGGCGCTACCGCTGAGCCACAGCCCCCCCTGTTTTTTTTTTTTTTTTTTTTAATATCTATTTTTTAGCTGTAGTTGGACACAATACCTTTATTTTCTAAATTTATTTCTATGTGATGCTGAGGATCGAACCCAGAGCCTTTCATATGCTATGCGAATGCTCTGCCTCTGAGCCAACAACCTCAGCCCTAAAGTTCCCGTTTTGAGTTCTTTGGTCAAAGGGCACAGGCTTCAGAGGTTCAGGACTCAAAGACAGAAGTGTCAGCCGAATTTAGTTTCTCAGGTACTCCACTGAATAAGCAGAGACTGTCTCAGACCAACCTGCAACCAATATTATTCAGTGTCCCTCTAGCAAAATGACTGTGAGATGGTCTCTACAACCTTAGGCAGTCGTCTGGTCAGGATCCAGGCATGCTCCGTGTTCCCCAATCCAGTCAAGCCAGCGGGAGGTCAGCAGGCGGCTCACACCTAAAATGCTATGTAGGACTCTGCACCAGACACCCCCAGAATTACGCAAATTTTGTTTGGTTCATCCTGTGTTACCAGCACCTCAAGCAATTCGCTATGGGCTAGAGACAGAACCGGGAAAAGGCCTGTAGAGCCAGCCCTCAGCGGGAAGGAGGGCACCACGCCTCCACCTCCACCCGCCGCACACCGCACGCCCAGACCCCGCCCGGAACTGAGCGTCACGCCCAGCTCGCAGCGTGGGGAGCGCGTCACGTGACCGCGCCGGGCGGAGGCAGGCGGAGGCAGGCGGAGTCGGAAGCCTGGACGCCGCCTGGTCGCTTAGCAACAGCCCCCGGCGTAGCGATGGAGGCTCGGGTTAGCAGGGAGCAGGAAGCCGGGTATTATTTGAAAAGCCACCGGATCCTGGATCTGCTGAACCACCTCACCAGCGTCCTCCTCTTTGTCAGGCCAGGTAAGGGTGCTGCCACCTAATAGCGTTCTGTGCTGCCCGCCTCCCCGCGGAGACGCGAGGGGGTCCCGTGCCGGCGCTTCGCTGCCTCCTCCTTCCCTCTCCTTTCCTCCCTCCACGCTCTCTAGGCCACCGAGTCCTGCTGTTGCCCATTAACTCTGTGGTCTTCAGTAAACACGTGCAGCTGGGACGACCCCTAGGTGCCAGCCGCTAACCTAGTGCGGCGAGTTAGGCTAGGGGAGCGGTCGTTGGGAAGAGAGGCTTCTCGCTCCACCTCTGCGTACTCCGTGGCATAAGACAAGACTCTGAACTGGTTTCTTGCTCTGAAAAGTGGGCACGATAGTAGAACCGATCTCGTGGGGGAGATTCATATATAAAACAGCCTGTGCTTGGCAAAAACGGATGTTTCCATTGCTACCCCTGCTTGTGAAGAGTTTTTCATACAGTAAGTGCACTAAACAAATGATAGGGTGAGCTAGAAGGGTGTTCTTGGGGAGCAGCTTTTCCTGACATTTTTATACATCTATGCCCCTTAAAAAGTTTGAAACATTTCATAATTTTTGTGTAGTGTGTAATTAAGAAGTTTTGTTAAATCGGGTGTAGTGGCACATGCCTGTGATCCCAGCTACTTGAGAGTCTGAGGCAGGAGGATTCCAACTTTGAGGCCAGCCTGAGCAACTTAGACCCCCATCTCAAAATAAAAAATAAAAAGGGGATGTAGCTCAGTGGTAGATCGTCCGTGGGTTCAAACTATAGTACCCGGGGTGGGGGGAGGAGGGGGAAGTAAAAATGATCATATGTCTTCCCCAGGTTGCAAAACTTCCATGTGGAGTGTCCAAAATGCTAAAACTGTCCATTTCCTTAAATTCTATACATCCTAACACTGCCAAAACCACCCATCCAGTATGATCGTGTTAAGAATGATCAAATTCTTTCTAGTTGTTTTACAGCAGTAAAGCATTAAAAACAAACAAAAAAATATCACTGTAACAGATAAGGAAGTGAAAAGAAATAAAGACAAAGGAATGCCCTTAACTTTTTTTTTTTTTTTTTTTTAATGCTCTGAGGTTAAATTGATTTCAAACTGATTTTTAAAACGTGTTTTGGAAAAGTGACTATGTCTCTTGCTGGTGCTTGATGCTGTAACATTGAAAAGTATTCTGCTGTTCAATGCAGCAGTATGTCTGACTCCACAACTAGTACTCTTGATAGCATTTCAGTGTTCCCAACACAAAGAAATGATAAATATCTCAGGTGGTAGATATGCCACTTACCCTGTTGTATACATGTATTGACATATCACACTGTACTCCATAAATGTGTATAATTACTGTGTCAAATAAGAATAAAAATATATCTTAAAAAAAAGACAAGAGGAGGGCTGGGGGTGTGGCTCACGCGGTAGCGCGCTCGCTTGACATGCGCAAGGCGCTGGGTTCGATCCTCAGCACCACATACAAATAAAATAAAGATGTTGTGTCCACCGAAAACTAAAAAATAAATAAGTATTTAAAAAAAAAAAAGACAAGAGGAAACCAACAGATTTTAAAACATTATGTGAGCGAAGAGACAACTATGGTGTGGGAGAATTTATTTGCAAACTATACATCTGGTAAGAGATAATATAAAAATATACATAAGGAATTCAACACAATGGTAAAATAAACAGTGCAATTTTTAAAATGGGGAAAGGACTCAGGTTGATCCCCGGCACCACACAAAAAGGAAAGAAAGAAAAAAGCCAAAGGATCTAAAGACATTTCTCAAAAGAAAACATACAAATAAACAACAGGGTATATGAAAAAAAATGCTCTCCATTACTAATCATCAGAGAAATGCAAATTAAAACCAATATCACCTCACAGTTGTTAGAATGGCTATTATTGAATAACAAGTGTTGTCAAGGATGTAGAGAAAAGGGAAATGTGTACACTGTTGGTGGAAATGCAGTTTGGTATGATCATAATGGAAAACAGTAAGGAGGAAGGATCTCAAAAAGTTAAAAAATAGATATATTATGTGATCCAGCAATCCCACTACTGAGTGTATATCCAAGAGAAATGAAACCAGTCTGTCAAAGAGATACCTACACTCCCATGTTCACCACAGCATTATTAACAATAGCCAAGAAAAGGAAACAACTTTGTGTCCATTAACAGATAAGTAAAGAAAATGTGGTATATATTTACAATGGAATACTATTTGTCTTTTTTTTTTTAGTTGTTGATGAACTTTTATTTTATTCATGTATTTATATATGGTGCTGAATCGAACCAGTGCCTCACACGTGCTAGGCAAGTACACTACCACTGAGCCACAACCCCAAACCCTGCTATTCATCTTTAAAAAGCAGAAAATCCTGTCATTTGGATGAATATGAAAGCCAGTGTGTTAAGTAAAATAACCCAGGCATAGAAAGATAATAGCACAATATTCTATAATATGCTGAATTTAAGGGAAAAAAAATAACACAGAACACAGAAATAGAACAAAATGGTGGATCCCAGAGACTAGGAGTTTAGGTATTGAGGAAATGTTGGTCCCAAAATTTCAGTTATAGGAGGAATAAGTTCAAAAGATATATTGTACATAATGGCAACTACAGTTAATAACAATATATTGTATCTGGGCTGGGGTTGTGGCTCAGTGATAGAGCACTTGCCTAGCATGTGTGAGGCACTTGTTTCGATTCTCAGCATCACATTTAAACAAATAAATAAAGGTCCATCAATAACTAATAAAAATAATTTTTTAAAAATTGTGAAGAGAGTAATTTTAAGTGTATTTATCACCAAAAAAACAAAGTGAAGGGCTGGGGATGTGGCTCAAGCGGTAGCGCGCTCGCCTGGCATGCGTGCGGCCCGGGTTCGATCCTCAGCACCACATACAGAGATGTTGTGTCCGCCGAGAACTAAAAAAATAAATAAACAAATAAATATTTAAAAAAAAAAAAACAAAGTGAAGTAGCACATGTTAAATATTTTCATTAAGCCATTCCATAATATGTGTATGTATCTATATACACACATCATGTTGTTTATTATAAATGTATCTAATTTTTACCTGTCAAAAATAAATTTAAGGGCTGAGATTATAGCTCAGTGGTAGAGCGCTTGCCTAGCACCTGTGAAGCACTGCGTTTGATCCTCAGAACCACATAAAAATAATAAAATAATGGGCTGGGGATATAGCTCAGTTGGTAGAGTGCTTGCCTCACGTGTACAAGCCCTGGATTCAATCCCCAGCACCACAAATGAATAAATAAAATAAAATAAAGGTACTGTGTCTATCTACAATTTAAAAGAAAAATTTTAAATAAATTTAAGGAGCTGCAGTTGTGGCTAAGTGGTAGAGCATTTGCCTAGCAGGTGTGAGGCAATGGGTTTGGTCCTTTGCGTCACATAAAAACAAATAAAGGTAATGTGTCCATCTACAACTAAAAAAAAAATTACTTAAATAAATTTAAACATGAAAAGATTTAAGGGCTGGGGTTATGGCTCAGTGGTAGAGCCATAATTCAAAATAAATAAATAAATACATTTAAATAATCTATCACAATGTAGGGACCCTATTTGAATATTTCTTTTCTTTTTTTTTTTTTTTGGTAGTGCTGGGAATCAAATTTGGGGTTTTGTACTTTTGAGGCAAGCATTCTACTACTGAGCTATAATCCCAGCCCCTGGATACTGATTTTTAAAAAATTTTTAAAATTTATAGCATTTGTGAGACAACTGAAACTTGAATACCATCTGAGGATACTAAAAAGATTTTTTAAATGTGTGATTGGTATTGTGATAATATTGTGGTGATATGAAAAAGGAGTCCTTATCTTTTAGAGATGCATAATTCAAATAGCAATGAAACATGATTGCTATGATTTTCTTTGAAATAATAGGTAAAGAGGGGGAAGTAGTTGGGTAACAAGTAAAATAAGATTGGCTGCAAATTTTAACAGTTGAAGTTGGTGGTGAGTTCACTGTATTTTTCTACTTTTACAAACTCCTTTATTTTTAAATACACACACACACACACACACACATTTAGTTGTAGATGGACACAATACCTTTTAATTTATTTTTATGTGGTGCTGAGGATGGAACCCAGTGCCTCACACATGCTATGGCAAGCACTCTGCTACTGAGCTACAACCCTAGCTCAAACTCCTTTAATTCTTAACAATAAATAGCTCTTTTAAAAGAATTTTTAAGTAAACATAAGGGTAAAAGCTGGGATTGAAATTAAATGATGGTAAAAAAAAAAAAAATAAATAAATTAAATGATGGTGCAGTAATAGGGTTTTACCAGCTGTTCCATCTTTACTTCTTTTTTTCTTAACTTCTGACCAGGGATAGAACCCAGGGTTGATCTATCACTAAGCTACATCCCCAGTCCTTTTTCTTTTTCTTTTTTTTTTTTGGGGGGGGGGGAGGGACACAATCTTGCTAAGTTAATTGCCCACGTGGCCTGGAACTTGAGATCCTCCTGCCTCAGCCTCCTGAGTAGCTGGGATTATAGACTTGCATCACCACACCTGGCTACTTATGATTTTTTTGTCATGATTGTCATGATTGCCCTGGAAAGTAGATATCCTTTATTTTTCATTTCTAAAATTGCTTTAATGAAAGATAACTTATTTATTCAAAATGTTAGAAATAAATATTTTATGCTTCCTATCTGGAGAACTATATCTGAGTTTCTGCTTTTGTTACCTATATATCATCCCCTCTAGCCAACTTTTCTTACATCTTGCTGTTCCCACTCTTTTCGGTTTGCAATTCTTTAGGTAAGTTAGATTGACTGGGAGATTTTTTTTTTTAAATGCCCAGGTTCAGTTTCTAGACTTTTCTATTCAGCCATCTGAAGTAAAGCACTTATGTATGTGATTGTTTAATGTTTTATGTTTCCTGCTGGACTGTAAGTTTCATGAAAGCAAGGTCTGTATCCCCTGGTGTCTAGTACAATACCTTGAACAGGTGTTTAATAGTTTTTAAATGGCTGTTTCCTTTTGTGACATATTGAAATTTCATATCAGAAAAGAGTTGGGACTATTCTTTTGCAGAAAACCCAAGAGAATATTTAATCTCTGTGTTGGAATGTATGAGAATTGCTAAAGAAACAAATGTAGCTTTTCCTTACTTTATGGATAACTCTAACATCACGGCCATGTTTGAGATGCTGGACAATTCAGGCAAAGGCACCATATCATTTGTACAGTACAAAGAAGGTTAGTATTTTCTATAAATTGAAGGAATAATTTATGATCATTTCATAACTTTCTCTAGTTGAAAAGAATCCTCATTTTGCAAATTTTCATTTCTTCTCATTCTGATGTTTACAGCACTAAAAACCCTGGGTCTATGTGATGCAGATGAAGATTTAAAGGATGATGGACATATAATAAATCTGAATAGGTTCAAGGAGGAAGTGTAAGTCTATCTTTTAAATAATGATTTTAATAATGTAGCATGATTTTCAAGTATTTATTATTATAAATTCTGTTGCAAATGGGTTCCTCCCTTTTGAGAAAAACCTTTCATTTCCCTGAAACTTGCAGCAACTAGAAAGTGAGGACAGGTGCATGCGTATACTCCCAGCAACTTGGGAGTCTGAGGCAGGAGGATACCAAGTTCAAAGCCAGCCTCAGGAATTTATCGAGGCCTTGTCTAAAAAAATTAAAAAAGGGCTTGGATATGGCTCAGTGGTTAAGTGCCCCTGGGTTCAATCCCTGGTACAAAAAAAAAAAAAAAAGAAAAGAAAGAAGAAAGAAGGAAGGAAGGACAGGCAAGGAATGTTCCCTTCTGGGAAATGCTGGAGTTAGGATGTTCCAGAGGCAATTTCATTCTTTCCTCAAGGAAACCTCAGCAATTCTCAAAGGATGACAGAAACCTAGTCTGCTAAAACTAACAGAAGAGCTTTGAGCTCAACACACTAGTTGAAAAGTTTCTGTACACAGTAATAGAATTTATCTCAAAACTTACTTATTGTAAAGTAAATGTTTATCAATAGTGTAATACACATTAGCCTGACAGTTTTAGATTTGAGATATTATAACCAGTGTTGAAAGTACTAAATGCTCTGTCAGGAAAACTATTGTAATAAAATTTGATATTTGTAGAAAGGTTCTAGTTAATTTAGCTCAATTTGTTTGCAAGTTTTACTCTCTGAGGATTTACTGATCAAGAAACCATTATTCAGGGCTGGAGTTGTGGCTTAGTGGTAGAGCACTTGCCTGGCATGTGTGAGGCCCAGGGTTCAATCCTCAGTACCACATATAAATAAATAAATAAAATAAAAGATCCAATGGCAACTAAAAAAATATTTTAAAAAAAGAGAAAGAAACCACTATTTAGTATAGCCCAAAGCCAAGGAAAAGTCAGAAGAAAAAAGAAAGTGCAATATTTTTGTCACACCAGTGACAAAAATATTAAACAAAAATGTTTAATTACATCTTCTACCATAGGGGAAAGACTGAGGCAGCATGCTCTAGCCTAAAATGTTTCATCCAGAGAGAAAAAGTTTCCACTGTCACAAAGAATGGAACTAAGTATTTTATTTATTTATTTGTGGCTAGGGAATGAACCTACAGTCTTTCACTTGCTCCAAGAGTATTTTAAATGGAAAGATAGTTACAGAACATGAAGAATAATCCTAGCTAATTCACCATCTCATAATTTGTTTTCTCATGGAAATATACTGAATTCACAAACTGGGTACAGGAACCTCAATGATAAACATGCATTCTTAAGTGACTTTAAAAAAATTTATTGGTTATGTTTGATTATCCACAAAAGTTTCCTTTAGCACAGGAAGTTGAAAGTTATAATTTCTTTGCTTTTGTATTTTATTCAACATATATATTCAGCATTTATATTTGTAAATGGAGTTATTCTGAGTTTCCACAGTTTTCTGTTTTTGGTTTTCTTAGGAACAAGAGGACTCGGGAAATATGGTCATCATTTTGGTAATACCATGAATTCAAGATAATAAATGATTCAGTAAAGTTGTCATTTGTCCAGTTTCATTAATTCAGAACATCTTCATAACTTTAAATCCAACTGCCTTCCTTTTTGTTTAAAAAAAAAAAAAAAAAACCCACAACTTTTTCTGAAAGATGGATTATTTTCCAGTGTTAGGCCAGTTTGTCCTCAAATTAAGTAGAATTTCAACATCTTGTTGAGCCAGTTTGTAAATTCCAACTTCATTTAAAGCTGCTGTGGCAGTAAGCTGCCCTGAAGCTGATTGAAGTACATCTTTCAGAAGTAATGCAGAACCAATGTTCAAATTCAAAACAATACAGGCTTCTTTTACACTGTTTGGGGGGGGGGTGGGGAAGAAAGGAGGTAAACAGAATTTTTTATTATCTCTGTCATCCATATTGTAATAATTTCATTTTGAGACGCTAAAGTTTCCCTGTGCTGCTGCTGGTCAAATATCCTCTCTATCAAAACTATTTTTGGACTAATTATTTGTCTTTTCAAATATGTTGGGACTATAGAGGTGCACAAAATTTGTAAGTTCATTAGAATTTGTAAGTTCATAAGGTACTAGAATCATGCTTCCAATATGCAGCCATTTGTTCTCTAAATAAAATACTTGGTACTAATAGTCTATTAAATATAGCTACCACTTTAGGTCCATTAGGGTATGGGAAAACAGAAAATTAAGAGATTAAAAATGAAAGCAGAAGATAGATAGAATACTAAAATAAATCTGAATATATTTCTAAGAATTATTCTCACATACATTTATATAATTACACTTAGAATCACAATATCAAATGTGTAAGAAAAAATTTTCTTCTGGCCTGGCTTATTGTTAGGTATTAAACACATCTGTAATTGCTTACATTTACTGAATATAGCAGAAACCACAGTTGCTTTCATTTTCTATTTATTCTCCCAGGAATAAGCAACTGAGAACATTAAACCAAATGTTTAGGAAACAAAGTCAACTGGATAATTTAAATCTACTTCTGGTCAATTTTCTGAGGTCATGGGTCATATCTCATAAATGATTTTGCTTTTTCTATTGTGCTCTGAACATACAGTAGCTATACAATCAATGTTTTAAGATTTTAATTGATCTCCTAAGTAGAACAAAATATATTCCATGCATGTATAATTTTATCAAAATACTCTTGTCATGTATAACTAAAAAGTACCAATTAAAAAAAAAGATTTTAATTTCTTATTCCACCAAACATCAGCAGAGTTCTTAAAATTGCTAAAAGCAAATCAACCTTCTCTAATAATTTGATACATCAATATTAATTGTTAAATATTAAGCTTACTGTTTAAAATAATTTTCTGGTCTTTTGCAATAATGAGAAAACAAAGGGAAAAGGTTCCGAGTCATATCAAACTGCAACTGGGCTGCTCCTCCTTCATTGAAGTGATTAGCAAGAATTATCTGAAACAAAGAATAATTCATGTTAACAGCTGCCTTTAATTATCATAGCCCCCCCCCCCCCCCAAATTTCTACTCTTACTTCTTTACAGACACTAGTATGGCAATATGTAAATCAATGGATGTGTAACTGATGTGATTCTGCAATCTGTATATGAGGTAAAAATGGGAGCTCATAACCCACTTGAATCAAATTGTGAAATATGATATATCAAGAACTATGTAATGTTTTGAACAGCCAACAATAAAAAATTAAAAAAATTAAAAAAAAAAAATTTTATTTATATAAGCATTACAGTTCATATTACACATATTGAGCACAAATTTTTCTTTCTTTTTTTTAAAAATATAACAGCGGAATGCATTACAATTCTTATTACATATATAGAGCACAACTTTTCATATCTCTGATTATGGTATATTCACACCGATACGTGTCTTCATACATATACTTTGGATAATAATGTCCATCACATTCCACCATCATTTCTAACCCCATGCTCCCTCCTTTCCCCTCCCACCCCTCTACCCTACCTAGGGTTCGTCTATTCCTCCCATGCTCCCCCTCCCTACTCCACTATGAATCGGCTTCCTTATATCAGAGAAAACATTCGGCATTTTGTTTTTTGGGATTGGCTAACTTCACTTAGCATTATCCTCTCTAACTCCATCCGTTTACCTGCAAATGCCATGATTTTATTCTCTTTGTGTATATATGCCACATTTTCTTTTTGTACTTACTTCTTGATATATGTATACATCCAGCTTTTCCACAAGCATTTGCCAGAAAATTTTAAATAAGGAGAAACAAAGCTGCTGTTCCAGTTGAAGTAAACGGTCTCGTAATGTAAGCAATAATGGGCAGGCTGAACTGGATAGGGACATTACTGCCTGTTCTGATTGAGATGGCAAGGATAACCATCTGTTAAAAATAAATAAATAAAATAAAACAAAACACAACTTACATTTTTACCCTAAAAATTTTTTATCACTTTTTTTGTGGGGCTAGTACTGGAGATTTAGCCCAGGGGTGCTTTACCACTGAACTATACCCCTGGCCCTTTTTTATTTTGAGACAGTCTTAATAAGTTGTATTGTGAGGCTGACCTTGAACTTGGATCCTCTTATCTCAGCCTCTTGAGTAACTAGGATTACAGGTGGGCACCACCATATCTGGCTTATCATTGTATTTTTAAATCTTTAACAAATTATGTTATATTTGGAGACCTGTACTGCCTGGGGAATTTTGGATGAGAAAACAGGTACAATATTAAAAGTTCTCTCAGAAAGCAAATGTACCTATGTTTATATTTTAGCTGTCAATGAAATACCTTTATTTAATATCATGATGATACATACACTTTAAATCCCAAAATTTTACTATTTGACTTATTGATATAAAAGTTTTAAAAAAATTAAACTGGGTATGGTGACACACATCTGCAAGCCAAGCTACTCTTGAGACTGAGACAAAAGGATTACAAGTTCCAGGCTGTCCTGGGCAACTTAGTGGATCCTGTCTCAAGATAAAAAGGGATGGAAATGTAGCTCAGTGGTACAGTACTTGCTTAGCATATGCAAGGCCCTGGATTTAATTCAAGTACTGAGAGAAAAAAATTAAAATGTATGTTTTTAAGGTTTGGGGTTGTGGCTTAGCAGTACAGCACTCACCTCGGATGTGTGAGACCCTGGGTTCGATCCTCAGCACCACATAAAAATAAATAAACAAAATAAAGATATTATGCCCATGTATAACTAAAAAAAAAATTTAAAAAATGTATTTTTTAAAAAAATATATTTTGTTTTAGTTGTAGTTGGACATAATACCTTTATTTTATTTTTATGTGGTGCTGAGAATCGAACCCAGCGCCCCGCGCATGCTAGGCGAGCGCTCTACCGCTGAGTAAAAAAACCTCAGCCCCTAAAATGTATATTTAGTATTTGAGGCATCAGCTACTTTTATGCTCTAGTTTTCAGCAAAAAACAACAGTGATGAATAACACTTCCAATCTGATTGAGGTCCTCTGTGTGGCAGGGACTGTGGTATGTCAAATACATATTGCTTGTTCTTAAGCAGCTCATGTTCTGGTGGAGGTCACAGATGCCCTCAGGGAATTATGGTAATGGAATAAATTGTACAATGCAAAGATGCACAGGTTGCTGTAGGAGCACCTTACTTTGAAACAAACAAGTGACAGGCTGGGCTGTTTGACCCTAGCTCTCTGTATTTACAATAGCTGAGGACTAAATTATAGTAGCATAAGTTTATTCTGATTAAAAATGTCCAAGAATATATTTTAGAAAGATTTATATCAAAAACAGTTAAAGTTTGGGCCTAGTATGCACAAGGCCCTGCATTTGATCCCCAACATTACAAAAACAACAACAAAAAACTAAAGTTTTGAGTACAACAGGCCAAACCCTGTTTCTATCTAGACACTTTGGAAATTTGACTGCATGTACCATCTTTCAACTTTTACTAAACTGGCATAAAGAGTTAACTTATACAAAGTACCTACCTTTCTTTCTTATAAAATTTTGCAGCATCTTTAACTTCTCTAAAAACATGGTCTACTTGACGGGTCAACATATCATGCTTTAAACGCTCTAAGAGGTTAATCATGTCGTCAAAGACAGAACTCTCCATAGAGGCTAGTTGTCCCAGCTGCAATTTACTGAGGGTATTATTCTCTGCAAAAACCTCTAGGGCTGCCTGCTGAAGTTGTAGAAAGAACTGAAACAAAAAACACATTAACACATTTATTAATACACTTCAACATCTTGAAATAGAATTTATATATCATACAATTCACCCATCTCAAGTGTATATAGTTCAATTGTAGTAAATTTAGAATTGTGCATCCATTACAATTTTAGGACATTGTCATTAACATCTTAGTACCCCCAAACTCTCATTCTTAGCCTTTATCCCCCAATTCTCTCCCTACTCCCTTCAACCCTAGGCAACCACTAATCTACTTTTTGTACTGATTTGCCTACCCTAAGTATTTTAATGTGTGTTTTTTGTGATTGTCTTCCTTTATTTAGTATAATGCTTTGAAGTTTTGTAATATTATAACATTAGTATGGTATGTATGTTAATGTATGAACATACTGAATTTTATTTATGCACTCATTAGCCAATAAACATTTGGATTATTCCCACTCTTTATTATGAATAATGCTTCTTTGAACAATTGTGCACAAAGTTTTATGCAGACATGTGTTTTCATTTCTCTTGGTATAAAACTATAGGAGTGGAATTGCCAGATCAAATGGTATTTCTACATTTACTGTTGAAAGAATTGCCAGGCTGTTTCCTACAGCAACTGCTAGGTGCTTAACCACTGAGCCATATTCTGGGCCCTTTTTTATATTTTATTTAGAGACAGAATCTCACTGAGTTGCTAAGTGCCTCACTAAGTTGCTAAGGCTGGCTTTGAACTCAGTCCTCCTACCTCAGCCTCCCAAGCTGCTGGGATTACAGGCATGCTCCAGCATGCCTGGCTAGTCATTTTCTTTTTCTTTCTTTCTTTATTTGTAGTTGTAGATGGACAGACTGCCTTTATTTTACTTGTTTATTTTTACGCGATACTAAGGATCAAACCTAATGCCTCACACATGCTAAGCGAGCACTCTGCCACTGAACTATAGCCCCAGCCCTAGTCATTTTTACTTGTGGTATTTTGCATTTTCCTGATGGCAAACATGCCCGCTTATTCATTTTTCTTGATATAGACTGAGAGTTGTAGGGAACTTGGAATACATGAAATTTAAGAGAGTTAAAATGTCATTTTTACAGGTGAAATTAACATTATCCTTTTTCCTCTTCAGGGGAAAAAAATGCTGTGGCTAATTAGCAAAAGATTAAAAAGAATTTAAATATCCACTGACTGAGGACTGGTTAGTGTTCTTCATACAATGGAATGATATATAGCTTATAGTTAAAAAGAATTAGACAATTCTTTTATGTTCTGAAATGGAATAATCACCGTGTCTTGTTAAATGGAAAAAGCAAATCAGAAGAGTTTTGTGGTATGTTATCATTCATATACACACACTCTTGTTTTTTTGTTGTACTGAGGATTAAACCCTGGGGCACTCTATCACTGAGCTATGTCCCTAACCCTTTTTATTTTAAGACAGGGTCTCAATAAGTTGCCAAGGCTGTCTTTGAACTTGCAATACTCTTGCCTAAGCCTCCAGAGCCACAGAGATTACCTGTGCCACCACACCCACCCTCCACACTGTGTTTTTATGAATAGCTTTGGTAGGCTACACAGAAATTGATAAAACTGGAGAGGGTCAGTATTACCACCTATTTTCACTATAAGCCATCTTGTGGCTTTTGAATTTTGTATTACATACATGGATTACATAGTCAAATTTTTTTCTCTTTTGCTCCTTTCTACAGTAATCACGTACTTAACTAAACAGAAAAAAATGTCACTAATAATAAGCATTTAATAATAAGATTAGCACTGGGCACAATGGTACACACCTATAATCCCACCATCTCAGGAGACTGAGGCAGGAGGACTGCAAGTTCAAAACCAGCCCCAGCAACTTATCGAGGCCCTAAGCAACTCAATGAAACCCTATCTCAACATAAAATATTAAAAAGGGCTGAGGATGTGGCTCAGTGGCTTAAGCACTCTTAGGTTCAATCCCTGATACCAGGGGGAAAAAAAAAGAGTAAGATTAACCATGAAGATCTGAAATTTCTTTCCTCAAAAATACAACTACAGAATACTCAGTATTCCATTTTTCCAAGGTTATTTTTTCAAATAAAACTCTAAACGGTATTAAACAATAAATATGTCATAATGAACCATGTTAAAGGCATCAAATATTTGGTTACCCTTGAAATGTTGCCTTAAGAATTTTTGGTTCCTTTGTTTTAAAGTTCTTAAAATGAGCCAGGAGTGGTGGCACACACCTGTAATCCCAGCTTCTTGGGAGACTGAGGAGGGAGGATCACAAGTTCAAGGAGAGTCTGGGCAACTTTGTGAACCCTGTCTCAAAATAAAAAAATAAAAAAGGCTAGGGATATATAGCTCACTGGTAGAACCCCCTTGGAATCAATACCCAATACCAAAACTAAAAATGGCTAGGGATTTAACTTAGTGGTAAAGTACCCCTGGGATCAGTCCCCAGTACTGCAAAAAAGTTATTGAAATGAAACTCATGAAAAATTAATAGCCGGGCATGAGGCACACACCTGTAATCCCAGTGGCTCAGGAGGCTGAAGCAGGAATATCTCGAATTCAAAGCCAGCCTCAGCAAAAGTGAGATGCTAAGCAATTCAGTGAGACCCTGTCTCTAAATAAAATACAAAATAGGGCTGGGGATATGGCTCAATGGTCGAGTGCCCCTAAATTCAATCTCTGGTACCCCCCACCAAAAAAAGAAAAATTAATAAAATTCAAGACGGGTGAGGTCGTGCATATCTGAAATCCCAGCTACTCAGGGACCTGAGGCGGAGGATCCCAAGTTTGAGGACAGCCTTGGCAACTTAGCAAAGACCCTATCTCAAAAAATAAAAGGGATAGAGATGTAACTAAATGATAAGGTGCTCCCAAATTCAATCCATAGTAATGCAAATAGAATAATAAACTAAAAGCCATTTAGAGTTCCCCCAAAGACTTCATGAATGATAACCAAACTACATAAATAGGAAAATCAGGCTAGGAGTACAACTCAGTGGTAAAGTGCTTGCCTAGCATGTGCATAGGTTCTGGGTTCAATTCCCAGCACTGGGGGGAAAAATCTGATGATCAATTTTCCTAAACATTTACTACTAAAATTTACTACTACTCAACATGAACATAGAATATTACTCAGTCTCTTTCAGTCTCACATTCATTTATATGGTAATGTGTCATGGCTACTTTTACCTGACCAGCATATTTTCCTTTTCTTTTGATAACAGTACCAGTACCCCTGATTTCCTTTGGGGAAATCACCTCTTCTACTCTGATGTTCTACTTCGAGACAACTAAACTCAGGTGGCATTATCCCTACTCTTTGTTGCCAAAGATGGTAATATCATGTCCTGGCCACACCAATGTTTCAGGGTTGGACCAGTAAGAGGTTACCTTGGTAAATCTGCTGAAACTATCAGGGGAAACACAGTCTTTTGAGATTAGGGATGGAACATGTGAGCCTGGAGCCACCTAGAGCCACCTAGAGCCACATGTCCAGAGCCTACCTGAGAATGAAACCAGAAATGAACTTTAGAATTCCTAAGTAATGAAAACCAAGCCAGGCAAGGTGTCACACAAATTCCTTATCCCATTCTATCCCATGACTTAGGCCAGTTCAAATCGAGTTTCTGTCACTTGTAAGTAAAAATTTCCTAATTCTGAATGCCTGGATATTTCAGGCTTGGCATAATCTGCCAGCAGTTATCAATAAAGAATATGCAATGAATGGAAATTGAAATCCGTTCTTTTTTTCTTTTTTCTAGTTATGTAATTATGTAAAAAAGAGCTTTAATGATTTTTTATTTAAAGCATTCACAGACTGAAGGACATTTTGATATTAAGACAGAATTAGCATCGTAAAAACCATGGTGAGACCTAGTTAATTCGACATAAGATTTTAAGTTTTCTAAGGGTAAGGAAAATGGCTAATTTGTCTTTGTTAACAGTCCCTGACACCAAGTAAATTAGTTAATGATGTTCCACAAATAATTTCATTGAAGCTAAAAATCTATCCCTGAATGAGTCTCTTATTAGATCATCTGGCATAAGAATCAAGAATGACAATTTGTTTCATACTATTGAAAAAGCTTTAGCAGCAAATGGAGCAGTGTGGGGGCTGGAAGAATACTCACTTAAATTAGAAACACGACACACAAAAGTGCAAAACGAATGAATGAATGCTGATTAGTTGACTTTAGAAATGCACTGATCATTACACTCTATAATCACTTTAAAAATATTTTATTTTCCTCGCTCAGCAGAATGACATTATGCACATAGATTTCTGTTAACATTTTTATATAAAACAATTTGAAATGATTATTAAGTCCCAGAGTTCAATTAAGAATAAACTACAGCCAGGCATGGTGACACACACCTGTAAATCTAACAGTTTGGGAGGGTAAAACAGGAGAATCCCAAGTTCAAGGTTAGCCTCGTAAACTTAGTGAGATCTTGTCTAAAAAAATAAAAAGGATGTAGCTCTCTGACTGTGATCATATTATCAATGTTTTATCTTGTTTATATCTGTTATTGGTAAATTCATTTTTGGTTTATTTGGCTTATTACTGTTTTATTTTGGCTTATTACCTGTTTTTAAGAAAAAGACTTTTTTGTTTTTTCTTTCATGGTAAATAGGAACAGTGAAGAAAGTTTTCTTCTAACAGTACACTATAATTTTTTGTTTTATGGAAAACAAAATACACTACATAATGCATTAATCACTATAATTTTTTGCCTCAAATTCATAATTTAAAATACATTCTTATCTTATTTCTATACTTCCTCCCTAATCCAGACACTAAATATTTTTTAAATGTCCGTGTTTAAATATGCTTCTTTTCTGCTTTTTTCTTACTAAATTAAAATTGGATAATATACAGATTTTTAAATTAATTCACCTTGTCCATCTTTGTAACACACTTAAAAATTATGTTTTTTGGGCTGGGGATATAGCTCAGTTGGTAGAGTGCTTGCCTTGCATGCACACCATGCTGGATTCAATCCCCAGCACCACAAAAAAAAAAAAAAAAAAAAAAAATTATGTTTTTCCCCAGCTAGTCAATCTTTCTAATTATATACTTCATAATTTTTAAATTCCCACTTTACCTATCACATATTAAGAGTAATATTTTAAGTTTATAGGTAAAATTATAGTTGTTTTATTGTTTACTTTCCTATTTTTGTTTTATGACATACGTTTATAATGAATGTATCTTCATATTCATTAACCTGTTTATGCAGCATAGTTTTTTTACTGTTTAATGTATATTTCACCATCTGTGGTCTAGTTCTCTAAAAACGTTTTGTGTCATGAACTTACTTTATGAAACACATAGGTGTTTCAGATGATCTCAGAACAGTGGTTCCCATGCAAGTGTACCTTGTCCAAGAAGGAAGTCTGGGAAGCCCTCTGAGATTACTATAATACTGTATCTAAAATAATTAAAGGAATTAATTTGTCTATATCAAGACTATAAAGACTAATTAGGTTTCTTCACTTCTGGGTAGAAGTACATTTGGAAAATCGGGTTACCAGAAGCCCTGTTAGCCAGTATATTCCTTGGGTTATTTTAATATTTATCTCTTAGAGATAAATACTAAAATATTTACCATGAAATATGATATCTGAGGCCTGCTTCAAAATAATTAAATGGTGTTGGGGGTTGTGAAGAAGTTGAAATGAAACAGAAGTAGGGTAAGAAGCTGGGTGGCACATGGGGTTATTTTCCTGTTTGTTTAAAAATAGTTATTTGAGGTGCTAAGGATCAAATCCAGAGTCTTATATATTCTAGGTAAGCATTCTACTAGGTAAGCATTCTACAACAAAGCCACATCCCAGCCATTAATAATTTTTTAAATATCTTTTTATTTATTTATTTATTTTTGTTGTGATTATTGATTTTGGTGATGCTGGGGATTGAACCCAGGGCCTGGTGCATGCAAGGCAAGCACTCTACCAACTGAGCTATTATCCCTAGCCTCTATTTATTTATTTTTATGTGGTGCTGAGGATCTAACCCAGGGCTTCATACATACAAGGCAAACGCTCTACCATTGAGCTATAACCCCAGCCCCATAAATAATTTTTTAAGTCTGAAAGAATTAAAATTTTAAAAATGTTTCTATTTTAATGATTCTTCATAATTTGTCATATTTTGAAGACATTCAAGTATCAAATGTTACTCTTTATTTTCCTTCAAGTCCTGGATTGATTGATTGATTGATTGATTTGATGGTGTCAGGAATAGAACCCAGAGTTCAGAGATTCATGCAAGCTAGACAAGCACTCTGCCACTAACTAACTATACCTATAGACCAGAGTCCTGGATTTTATTTTTTTTTTTTTAAATATTTTTGTCAGGGCTGGGATGTGGCTCAAGTGGTAGCGCACTCACCTAGCATGCGTGAGGCACTGGGTTCGATTCTCAGCACCACATAAAAATAAAATAAAGATATTGTGTCCACCTAAAACTAAAAAAAAATAAATAAATATTTTATATATATATAGTAGTTGTAGATGGACACAATACCTTTATTTTATTTGTTTATTGTATATGGTGCCAGGAATCCAACCCAGTGCCTCACCCATGCTAGGCAAGTGCTCTACCACTGAGCCACAACCCAGCCCTTTTATTGATTTTTGACATCATTATTTAATAACAATTTTTCCATGGTGGCAATTACCATATATGAATATTTTCTGAGGACAAAGAAAAATGAAAAGAGGTTCATTCTATGAGCAACTATTTCATGAAAGATTTTTTTTTTTTCAATTTTTTGTTTGTTTTTTGTTTTTGGTGGCACTGGGGATTGAACGCAAGGTCTCATGCATGGTAAGCAAGCATTCTACCACTAAGTCATATCTATTTCAGTCTTCCAACGGTTAAGTTCATTAAAATATCAGGATTATTTATCTATTTGGGATTTGACTGAGAAAAAAGTATATTTTAATCATATCTCTGAAGTTTGGCATCATTGTGATTGTGTCTAACATGTTACTTACAATAGATTCAACATTTCAAAAGGTCAAAATAGTTCAAACCACTAATATATTTCTTAATATAAAAGTGTTTTAACTCACAACATTGTCAGCCCAGTCTGCTAGTACTGTTGAGATGTAGTTCACAGCATTAAGAATTGCACAGTATCGAAAGCCAAGGGAGGCTCTAGTCTCTTCTTTCATCACCTGAGTTAATCGTATCCTAAAATCATCTACTAAATCCTTCTGTAACTCCAGGAACTGCAGCTTTCGGGAAGCTGTGGGGAGATTTTTATACCTGTCTGTGGAGAGAGTTAGTAAGACATGAAAGGTTTTGGTACCATCCATAATATAGGCTTTTGCTACTTTGCCAAAAGTCAATTTATCATTTATGTATGGATCTATCTTTTTCTAAATGCTCTAAGAATACAGGTTTCACAGGTATACATATTTATCAAGAATCACTGAACAGTAAACTGGGCAATGCACTTTACATTTTCATATAGTACACTTCACTGTATATAAATCATGCCTTGATTTTTTAAAAACCCATAAGAAAAATCACATTAAAAAATGCCGCTGAGGGGCTGGAGTTGTGGCTCAGCAGTAAAGCGCTTGTGTAACATGGGCGAGGCACCATATAAAAATAAGTAATAAAATTAATTAACGACAGTGTATGCAATTATAACTAAAAATTAAATATTTAAAAAAAAATGCCGCTGAGCATGGTGGCACACACCTGTAATCCAGCTACTTGGGAGGCTAGTGGAGGAGGAGTTCAGGGCTAATCTGGGCAACTTAATGAGATCCTATCTCAAAAAAATAAAAAGGGTTGAGGGCTGGGTATGGTGACACACACAGAAGCCTAGCAAACACACAGCTCTGGAGGCTGAAGCAGGAGGATCATAAGTTCAAAGCCAGCCTCAGCAACTTAGCATGGCCTAAGCAACTCAGTGAGACCCTGTCTCTAAATAAAATTTTTTTAAAAAAAAGGCTCAGATGTGGCTCAGTAGTTAAGCACCCTTGAGTTCAATGCCTAATACCAAAAAAGAAGGGGGGAGGGGGGCAGGGAATGTAGCTCAGTAGTAGAGCATCCCTGGGTTCAATCCCCAGTACCATAAAAAAAAAAAAAAAAAAAAAAAGCCTCCATTCTGCTATCATGTATAACTGATTAGAACAAATAAATAAATTTTAAAAAAATAAAAATAAAGGAGAAGCTCCTAAAGATTAAATAAGATACATATTTAAGGAATTACAGGTGACATGATGTTGAAATGTCCTTGAAAATACTCCAGGGGAAAAAAAGTTGGGTAGAAAAATGTTACAGAAAACACAATTGTTTTGAACCTTGACAATGGGTAACAAAGGGTCCTGCCTTTGTGTTTGTTTGAAAATATTCTTAATACAAATTTTTTTAAAGTCACATGAGGGCTGGGGGTGTGGCTCAAGCAGTAGCGCGCTTGCTTGACATGCGCGAGGCGCTGGGTTCGATCCTCAGCACCACATACAAATAAAATAAAGATATTATTCCACCGAAAACTAAAAAATAAATAAATATTAAAAAAAAATAAAATAAAGTCACATGAGTTTTTTCTTAAGTTTTTAAGGGTTTTTCATATTTTTTCTTATAATTAAGAATACAAAATTATTTACTGATTGGGCTAGAATACACTTCTTCATGTTATGTGAACAAGAAATGGATTGCCAAAGGAGCGGGAGGCAAAGAGAACTAAGGATGGTGTCAATGAAGGCTTCTGGAACCTGGAGAATCAGCAGGCCTACAGTGGGACAACATGGATGATGCCTTCCAACCAGGGCCAGCAGCTGCTAGGTTACTCTCCAGCCAGACAAATCTTGCATGATAAGAATTCCTATTCCAATCTTCAGGGGCTGGGGCTGTAGCTCAGTGGCAGAGCGCTTGCCTAGCATGCATGAGGCACAGGGTTCGGTCCTCAGCACGACATAAAAATAAGCAAATAAAGGCATTCTGTCTATCTACAACTCCAAAAAAACTTAAAAAGAAAAAAAAATTTACAGTGGCACATGCCTATGGTCTCCCATCTACTCAGGAGGCACCACTTAAGCTAGGAGTTCAAGGGTAGTCCAGAAAAACAGTGAGACTCTATCTCTTGAAAAAAATTAATTTAATTTAGGTCAACTGCCATTACTGAAGGCATTTGAAAGCTAAATGGCAAGACAGTTCAGGTAATAAAATTAAATTCTTATTTAATTGTTTAATTAAAACAATTCAAGAATTTTTCCCTTAGGTATACCAATGTTTAAGTACTAACTTAAATTATTAAAAATCCAAAAATCCAAATATTTGTTAGATATCAACTAAAATATAAACTGAATTATAATAACCACTGTATAATATTAATATTTTTGAGCTACTAGAAAAAGTATCATGTGAAAAGTCAATACTTTTAAAACAAAGCCCTATCATGAAACATTTATACTTACCAGTTATAACCAAGAGTAGAGTCATAAAAGTTTCTGCACAGTCTGGAACTTTCATTTCATCTACATCAGTGATATCCTTATATTGGGATACCCAGGCAGCTTCTGATGAAAGCATTGAGTCCATTTTTTGAAGAGCAACTGATATGAAGAAAAAAAGGATTATGTCAATTAAGTAATTATAGTCATTCCTTATTTTTTCAACCTATATTTTTTTTAGGAATTTGGGACTCTTCTATACAATAAACCCTAGTTATAATATATTTAAAATACTCTATTTTCAAATCTTCAAAATAGTTACACTGCTAAGGCATGGTGGTGTACACCTATAATCCCAGCAGCTCAAGAGGATGAGGCAAGAGGATCTCAAGTTCAAAGCCAGCCTCAGCAACTTAGCAACTTCACAAGACTCTCTCTAAATAAAATATAAAAAGGGCTGGGGGGCTAGGGCTTAGAGGTAGAGCCCTCACCTAGCATGCGTGAGGCACTGGGTTTGATCTTCAGCACCACATAAAAATAAAGGTATTGTGTCAACTTAAAACTAAAACATAAAAAAAGGTTTGGGGATCTGGCTCTGTGGTTAAGCACCCCTGGGTTGACTCCCAGGCACCAAAAGAAAAAAAAAATACTTACAATGACTACATCCAAAAAGATTCTACCAAGAACAAAAATACTATGTGGTAAATCTATAAAATAGCTATACGCTCTACCAGTTTGCCTGTTCCACTCTAGAAGCATGTAAAGTGTAATTCAAAAATAAAGTTTCATGGGAAGAAAAGAAAATAAGATTATCTCTGAAAGCAACTTGGTAAACTCTGACCAGGAAAATTTTTGATGACTATAGTTCCTACCCAGGATTAGAGGTGGAAAACACCAAAATTTATATAACAAAAGGTATCTAAATGGGAATAGGAAAGACAGTAGAGTGAATCTGACATAACTTTCCTATGCTCATATATGGATACACAACCACTGAAATTCCACATCATGTACAACCACAAGAATGGGATCCCAATCAAACAAGTTATACTCTATGTATGTATGTCAAAATATACTCTATTGTCATGTATATCTAAAAAGAACAAATTTTTTAAAGTGGAAAAACAAAACAAACAAACAAAAAAAAAAAAAAAAAAAAAACAGGCATCTCTGTCCTATGGCCACATGAGCACTTACATTTTCTCTCCACAGTCAACCATCTCTGAAAACAGGTTTCCTCTGATAGAATATGCATACAATTAGCAAAAGTGCTAGGATAGTAGTGAACATTGTGTAGCTCCCTTTCAAACAACAGCACCTCATCCACCAAATGACAGAAGAGATTGTCATCATAGAGCAGACAAGGAATATCTGAAGCTAACTTCTCAAGAACCAGCATCATGAGACCCCGAGAAAATTCAAGCTAAAAGAAATACACATGAAAAAAAAAAAAAAAGAAACACACATGAGGTAAGTAGATAACGAGGTATTCAAGTACAGGTACAACTTTAAAACTGAAACACTTAGGACTGAGTCTCTTACCCTGGCATTTACTGCAGAGCCCGCATTATCTAATATTGGCTGAATCTTCTCATCCAGAAATTGAGTATGGTTTCCAATCCACATAAGTACCTGAGCCAAGTACCATTCCGGCTAAGGAAGAAGGTAAAATAATTTAAATTTTTCATTTATTCCGAGTAGACAATCATAAATAAATATATATTTAATTGTAAACACACAACACTTTTAAAAAATTAGTTGAAAATTTCTATGTAGAAGAAAATAATTTCTACTCTGAACTTCAAACTCATGAAAAGCTTAATCACCAAATATTTCTCAATATTCTCCCAACAAATTCCAATAATGTGGTGTAAGCCAATAAACCCATAAATTTAAAATGCCAGAGGGGGTAAGGATATAAAGTATTTGCCTAGGATGTGCCAGGCTCTGGGCTTAATCCCTAGCACCATGGGGGGGAAAAAAAACTATATATATTTAAAACTTAGCACTTTAGTAATAGATAAAATGAACTGATGGCCTTTAAATTGTTTTTTTTTAAATTTTTAAACATCATTTTCTTCTTCTTTTTCTTTTCAAATAATAGATTAAGGAAAAAATTGAAAAAAAATTGGCTTAAAACAGGTATAATTATAGAAAGGAGTAAGAGCATTTTAAATTTTCCTTAGAGATGATCTCTGCAAGCATTACAAGTTTTGTTGAACAAAGATCCAAAAATATTTACTGAATGGTAAACCTCTCTTGTGTGCTAGATGTTGGGAATACAAAAATGAATAAGGGCAGTATCTAATCTCAAAGGTTGCACAGGTTAGGCTTGGTGGCAGAGTGCTAAGTCCACTGGAATCACACTTTCAAAAGCAGCCGACCAACTCACAAGTTTCTTACATCAACTTATTACTGCCTCTCTACAACTTTAGGTTCATTGCTTTGTCTTATTATTTAGTACTAAGTGGTTCTGCCCTTCCTTCTACCCCATTCAACAAAGGAGACCCATAAAGTGAAGCCACTATGCTCCTTCCTGTGCAAACACATAAACATAATTACCTATTCCTGGATTCCTTTTTAAATGTAGTAGGGATTGAACTAGGTGATAGTCTACCACTAAGCTACATTCCCAGCACTCTTATTCTTATTTTGAGACAGGATCTTGCTAAATTGCCAGGCTCAAACTTGGGATTCTCCTGCTTTAGCCTCCTAAGTAGCTGGGATAACAGGCATGTACCACACCATGCCTAGTGATTCCTTTAAAATTCTATGAATTTGATAAGTTCATTTATATGATATGTACATTATATGATATGTGATTTGGCATTAGTAAAATTTAAAATACTTACTGAACCCCTAACTTTATGTGCTACATTAATTGGTAGCAAAACTCAATAGATAAGGTAGTAAATAACTCCTTTTTCCTTTTTGGTACTGGGGATTAAACCCAGCAATGCTTTAACCATATCCCCAGCCCCTTTTCCTTTTTATTTTGAGACAGGGTCTTGTTAAATTGCGGAAGTTGCCCTCAAACTTGCAATGGTAGGCTGGGGATATAGCTCAGTTGGTAGAGTGCTTTGTCTCGCATGCACAAGGTCCTGGATTCAATCCCCAGCACCACCAAAAACAAAAACAAAAAAAAGGTTGCAGTCCTCCTGCCTCTACCCTACAAGTCACTGGGATTACAGGCATAAACCACCATGCCCAGCCCTCCTAGTAATTTCTAAGATTATAATTTGACTTATTTCTCAAGCCAAATTAAAGAAACATCTCAACAATATGCCTAGTATACACCAGTAAGGTCCCTCAATTAAAATATTGGAGATAATGTCCTCAAAACTGTTTACATTTATTCCCATAATCTCTTTGCACAGCTATAAAGCATTTTAGCATAAGTACCTATATTCAAAACTAATGCTCTACTATTTTGGGGAATTCACTTTTTCTTTCAATATATTTATAAATCCAAAGGAGCAATTTGTACAATGAAACACAGTGGATCCAATTGTAAAAACTGTCACAGCAAATGCTACAGCACCCATAGCAACCCTAGAAACTGGTCACATGACATGCCAATGAGTTAACTGACACCTGCAACATATCTACTTCCAAGTCCCCTATTATAAATGGCAGTGACAAAACATGAATTTACCTCTTTAGAAGAAAAACAGAAAAGTGAATAGAGGTAAATTTTAAGTTGGTAAAAGTACAGAAATATTTAACATTTGCTATTACTAAAAACCAAAGGTAAGAGTTGGCAAAGCACACCTTGCTTATAACATTAGTCTGTCGGTTGCCTCTGAAGTGATACCTGAACCTCTTTTGAAGTGGAGTCAGCATAATCTGGATGGGCAGGATGACAGAAGGGGAAGGAGGAAGAGAATATTTTTCTGGGAGTTCTTTTGGCTCAGTAAGTAATTCATCTCTGACACAGTGAAGTCAAGGAAAAAGAATAAAATATACATACAGACACACACACACATATATATGCACATATACACTCACACACAATATATGTATACACACAATTTCCCAACAAATGTACCAATACTAAGTAAAAATTATGATACAAATAGTAAGTCTAACTTTACATTATATACAAGTTTAGAAAAAAAAAAACTGCACAACATTTTTATTAGAATTAATCTGTAAATCTTTTCTAAAATAAAAATATCAGGAAATTCAACTTATCATTTGATTAGATTAATATTTTGTTACTAAGGTTTCCTCCCAATTATTCATTCATTCTATTATATGTGATGCAAATATGATGCAAACTTGGGTCAGTCCCTGTCTCAGAACTCTTCCTTGCAATACTCTGGCCCACACAAAGTTCACTTTGCAAAAGAAAAATCCACCACTCAATGGCCATTGATACATCAAGTCCAACCCAGGACTCCCATTTGGTTCTTGACCACTTTCAAAAAGTTTTACTCTGTAGCCACAAATCCACTCTATAAAGAAGAAATTTTAGTTAAGTTTTCCACTTTGACAAAGATACGAGGTTTGCAGTTTCAATAACTGACAAAACAATGTCTCCAGGTTACTGTATATCTCAGGGGCACTGGTGGGTCGGTTTAAGCCAACAGTTTGAGATTGAGGGGGCACAATGAATGGCCAATGAATCTGTGCTAAAACTTCCTCAAAATCGCTGAAACAGAAAACAAACACACATTTCAGTACAAGGTTATCAAATAATTGCCAAATATCCAACTGAAAGTAATGACCATGAAATATGGGTAAATTCTCTACCTTGTAAGCTTGTCCTTGAGAATTTTATGCCAGAATTTAACTGTGGCTCTCATGAAACTGAGAAGATGAGTACAGGATGATTCCTGAAGTTTAATGTCAAGTTCTGTCATAGCCACCAGGATAGAGGCTGCCTCTGGCACATTATTGGTCATCAGATATTGTTGAATGTTATCACTGCAAAACAAAGGAAAGAAAATAAACTTAAGGAAAATTTATTCAGAATAATTATAAATTTGGAAAAAACGATTCTCCCTCACATTTTATATAAAGTTACATCCAAGGACGAATGAAGCACCACCCTGATGTGGCTATTTAACCTAACGCCATGTCTCTCTTGGATCCTGGAGTCCTCTAAATTTCTTAGCAACCTTCTAAGAGCAGCAAGCAGCCCATGTTCAGGATAGCATCTGTTAGGGTCAAGTACAATATCTTCAATTGTTACTTCTTTTGCCTAACAAATTTTGATTTCCCACTTCAAAGAAATATATTGCAAACTAAGTGTTCCATTATATTAGAATAAAGATTACTGTGCTTAAGAAATATACAAATGTTACAAAAGAACTTAAAATGTACAAGTAACCACAGAATATAGAAGGATTGCTTTCTAGGATGATATATATCTCTACAGAACACGGAAGCATAAAGGACATTTTAGAGCCTAAGAAAAGTCTTCATTTGGAGTGATACTGCTGTACTGTAGAATTCACGAAACAGAACAAAGTTGCTAGTCCTAACAAGAAGAAACTATTTAAATTAAAAGAGAGAATTACAAAAGCTCAAAAGAAAGCTAGAAATAGAGATGTTACCACAAAATACTTAAGGGAAAGAACACGTTATTAAAGAGAGAAACAATTGTTTCTGTACTTTGTTATAAATTTCTTATTTCTAATGATTCTTTGGACACATTTCTCTTAAACAATTCAGATATCAGAAATGGTTATAAATAATCACAGTCCTATTCTAGTTAACCTAATACTTTTAGTTAATCTAATAATTTTAATGAAGTACAATGAGAGGGAGACCTTTATACAACTTATTTTACTTAATAAGGTTATTAATATTATCTCTTACTGGTATTTTCTTTCAGAGGGGCAAGGAGAAATAAAGAAATAAAATAAAGCAAAGTTTAAAATTCCCTCACTGCAAATAATTTAAACAAGAATGAGATGATCTAAAAAGCTTAAGTCAATTTCTGGAATCACTAATCACACTACAGTCTTCAAAAATAAAACCTCATATATGCAAAATAAGGATTTTCATACCAAACTAATAAGTAAAATGCTTTATAATCTTAGGAAACATATGCAGGACAAAAGAATACATAACATTCATAACATATATAACATTAAATATATTAACTATGGTACCTCTTAAAGAAAATATTAAAAATTTTGGAACCAGACATGGTGGTGTCACACCTATAATCCCAGCTACTCAGGAGGCTGAGGCAAGTTCAAGAATGGCCTGAGTAACTTCCATGTCTCAAAAAAAAAAAAAAAAAAAACAAAAGGCAGGGAGCAGCAGGGGGTGGGAAGGGCACAAGCCTAGCACGCACCAGACCATAGTTCACTCATGAGGAAGGGGGTACTCTTGGATGATTTTTCTCCCTTTGGTTTTCCAGACATTAATGGCTACTGACAGTTATGCAACAAGAATAGCTAAAACTAAGCAAGGCTCCAACAATATAATTTCAGGGGACCATATCATGAAACCAAATAAGTTGCCCCTTTGGGTAGAAATGTTACTCTGGCTTGTTTAAAAAGCAATACCAGATATAATCACCAGTGGTATATATTCAATTTAAAAGAACTTCTTTCTCTTCCCCCCCCTACTCAGTAGAATTTTGTTATTCATCTAAGAAAAGTTATTTAATGATTCACACTGAAAAAAATTCAAATTCTAAGCTGGGCGCAGTGGCACACGCCTGTAATCCCAGTGGCTCAGGAGGGTGAGGCAGGAGGATCCTGAGTTCAAACACAGCCTCAGCAATGGTGGGGGGCTAAGCAACTCAGTGAGGCCCTGTCACTAAATAAAATATAAGGGGCTGGGGATGTGGCTCAAGTGGTAGCGCGCTCGCCTGGCATGCGTGTGTGTGGCCGGGGTTCGATCCTCAGCACTATATACAAACAATGATGTTGTATCTGCCGAAAACTAAAAAATAAATATTAAAAAATTCTCTCTCTCTCTCTCAAAAAAAATTGAAAAAAAAAATATATAAAATAGGGGTGGGGATGTGACTCAGTGGTTAAGTGCCCCTGAGTTCAATCTCCAATACAAAAAAAAAAAAAAAAAATTCCAATTCTAGAGGAAGCAATCCATCTCATTGTGACAATCTCTAAAAATTAAACAGGGATACCTGTTACCCACACTGAGTGTTTGTTTTACTAATTTCATATTACAAACAATACTTTTTACCACATGTTCATAACACAACTATAAGACTTAAAATTTTAACATACTTACTTTCTTTCAAATGCAAATTAAACTCCCTGAAAAGTTTATGTTCATTCACAACAAAGGAAAAGAATCATTATCATAATGCTATTTTCCTAACAACTGGTAAAATTACATCATTATAATCTTTAATTAACTCAATTATTTAATGGCAAGCATGCATGCTCTAAGACAGAGCCTCAAAGGAAAACAATAATTATGAGAACAAAGCAGCCCATTTTACCTTAGTTCTTCAATTTGAGAAATCCATTTAAGGTAAGCGAGATGCCGTTCAATCTCTTCAATTTGGTTAATCATGGCCCCGAGATCATCCATCCAAGGCTGTGCGGTCAGCAAATGGCTGTTAATGGAACTGAAGAGATGAGTTTCTTGCTCCAGAAACAGATTAAGGAATTGCTTTGATTCTTCTGCATTTTTTAAGGCACTCTGAATTCTTTTAGGAATTTCTGATGAAATGGTAAGTACCTAACCATACCAAAAATAAATAAATAAATAAGACAAAGAGAATAGCAGCGATCAGATAAAATTTTCATAATCTTTTTTTAGTTCATTCATTTCCAAATGCATGTTTGTTCTGACAGAACTGAAAATTATCTATTAAAAACTTCGAAAGAGGGCTGGGATTGTGGCTTAGCGGTAGAGTGCTCACCTCGCACATGCGAAATCCCGGGTTTGATCCTCAGCACCACATAAAAATAAATAAGTGAAATAAAGGTATTGTGTCCAACTACAACTAAAAAACAAATATTAAAAAAAAAAAAACTTCAAAAGAAAGATTTGATTTCTTCAACCCTACCAATCAATCCAAATATAAAATGCTGGATGTGAATGCGACAAACCATTATGTTCAGTATGTTTATTTACGTATAATTTGTGAAAGTGCAGCCTAGTGTCGCAGCAGAACTGACCTTCCTGTAGAAGGACTGGCAGATGAGGTGAGGCATGGTAGAAGACCACACAATGGATAGGCACAACCCACTCAGCTACGACATAACCTCTAACAGAGCCCTTCAAGAGTGAAACAAACTGATGGGGCCAGGCTAAAAGTAGGTGTAGTAGAAAGATAAAAAGAGGAGAGTTGAGGAGGCCCAAGGTGATGGGTAGGGATAGGAGAACATAAGACAACTGACAACCCAGGGATGACATCCACATACCCACAGACTGTACTTAACCTAATTTAGTAGTTAAACAAACAATATTTTTTTTTTCTTTGACTATTCCAGGTATACAGATCCAGTTATTTTAGATTCAAGAATACTTTCATTGTTTTTTTTTCAATTATTTTAGGTAATGTTTATTGTAAAAAGAAAAAAAGAACCTGAAAAGACATAAAATATGAAGATAATAAGTCACTTTCAGCCAACTACCCTAAAATAACCACTATTACAATATTATACTTTTTGTGTTTTTCTTGCTGTGCATTTATTAAAAAAAAAAAAAAAAAAAAACAACTGGAATGACAGTGTCTAAACATTTTTGTAAACCACAAAATTATTTACTCATAAAGCACTTTAGAAGTCATTCTATAAAAGCTATATAAAATGTTAGCTATCATTATGTTTTCAAGACATAAATCAGCAGGAACTTTTGCCTTTTAAATAATCTATAAAACATGTAGTACCTTTGTAGGTCTTTAAAAACCTATTAAATAGTTTAAAATGATTAGAATTTTGTCACAATCCAAACTCTAAAATTCTATAAATAATAGTGATTATGTTTATATTATATTCCTATAATGAGTATGTTATTGATATTATTTTTTTATATTTATTTTTTAGTTGTAGTTGGACACAATACCTTTTTATTTTTATTTATTTTTATGTGGTGCTGAGGATTGAACCCAGGGCCTCGCATGTGCCAGGCGAGCGCTCCACCACTGAGCTCCAGCCCCAGCCCCATTATTATTGATATTATTTCAACGAGTTTTAATACTTACCTGTTCTTCTAACTGCATTTTACTTTCTGTCATTTGTTCTATGAGTTTATCAAGTTTTTTTAAAGATTTAAGGTCATTTCCAACTTCCTTTTCTATGAATGCAGACACATAAGAAAGGTCACCATTATCTGTATCTCCGCAGACCTCTTCACCTCCCACGAGAGATGCAATGTTCATGTCACCTAAAACTTAAAAAGGAACTACTCAATACCACTAAGCACTATAGAGTTAAAGGAAATATAAAAGATACACAAGACAGTGTGTTTACCTTTAAACACTAATAATTTTAAAACACATACAGTATATATAGACACATAATATTTAAATGAATAGCTATAAAGCAGTCTATCAAGCAAGTACTACAAAATACTTGAGTGGAAGAAATTCAGAGTGAAGGAAAAAATCTCATAAAGTCTGACCTAGTAACCAGAGGTTTCAATAGACATTGTCATGACAATGCTAATACCTTTTCAATTTTTTTTAGTTGTTGATAGAACTTTATTTTTATTTATTTATAGGCGGTGCTGAGAATCGAACCTGGTACCTCACACATGCTAGGCAAGTGTTCCACCACTGAGCTACAACCCCAGTCCCCCTTTTCTAATTTTATAAGGAATCAATGGTAGATTTAGACTAACAACAAATGAGTTCTCTAGTTTTAAAATGTTAAATTATTGAAATATTTCAAGTATATGGAAGAAATTTGAAAAGGTGACCAATAAGTAAAAACTCTTAAACAGTTTTAAAAGCTTAAAATGTCATTGTTACAAAGATGTCCATATCAGAAACAGGAAGAAGGAAAAAAGAATACATGAGAGAAAACACAAAAATTACTTGAAAAAAATCAAAATGGCTATTTTGTACAAAATGAGATTCTTTCCATGGCAAACAAACCAGATTTAGCCCAATTTATATTGGACTTAGTAAAAACGTGGCAAAGCAGATGACTTGGACCCTGAAGCCATTTCTTGTTGAAGAGCAATGTGAAATTTCCCAAATACTCACCAGGATGTTTATTAAGACCTAATTAAAGTTACCTGTAATTCTTTTTAAGCAAAAGTCAAATATATAAATTTAAATTTTTCAAGTTGTTTTTATTTTTTTTGGGGGGGGGGTACCAGGGACTAAACTCAGGGGTACTATTTTGTATTTTATTTAGAGACAGGGTCTCACTGAGTTGCTTAGCACCTCGCTTTTTATTGAGGCTGGCTTTGAACTTTCGATCCTCCTGTCCTAGCCTCATGAGCCGCTGGGATTACAGGGAGCCACTGGGATTACAGGCATGCACCACCTCACCCAGCTTAAGTTTCATCTTAACAAAATACTTAAGAAAACAAATTTTTAGTAAATAGTCTATTTCAAAGGCAACTAAATTATTTTCAATTGTCTTAAATTTGTGGATCAATAGCATTGCTCTTCTTATCAGGTATCTCTTGCTATACTTTGCTGACCAGTGTGGCATTCTTTTTTTTTTTTTTTTCAGTACTAGAAATTGAACCCGGGGCCTTCTGTATGCTAGGCAAGTGCTCTACCACTAAGCTACATCTCTAGCTCTTTTTATTTTGATAAAAGGTCTCACTAAGAATTGAACAACAGCAGATGAGGTAGAGAGGGAAGATGGGAGGGGAGGGGAGGGGGGATAGTAGGGGATAGGAAAGGTAGCAGAATACAACAGTCACTAATATGGCATTATGTAAAAATGTGAATGTGTAACCGATGTGATTCTGCAATTTGTATTTGGGGTAAAAATGGGAGTTCATAACCCACTTGAGTCAAATGTATGAAAGATGATATGTCATGAGCTTTGTAATGTTTTGAACAACCAATTAAAAAAAAAAAAAAAAAAGGTGCCCAGGCTGGACTACTTTGATCCTCCTGTCACACACTCTCAAGTAGCTGGGATTACAGGTGTGGCACTGTGCCTGGCTCAGGGTGGCTTTCTGAACTGTGCCCTGCACCTCAGGGACCTGGAGGTTCATAGCAGTTTCTTGGCAAAGAATTAAGGGGTGACATGACCAAAGAAAAAGGGAGAGCACAAGGGAAACCAGGAACAGTCCTCGCAGCCCACCCCAGTGTGCTGAGTTCAGGTTTCTCTCTGAGGAATCTGTTTCCATGCATAAGCTATCCTCTTTTCATTACTCATAGCTTCTTCTTCCAGGCAAGTTTTGAAAACCTGAAGTATAATCATAGCTTCATTTCACTGATAAACACACTCAGTTCTACTCCCTCCACAATTTGAATTTTTCCACATTGATGAATTAACCTTTCTAGATTCGAGTAATTCCTAGTTTAAAAATAATTTTTAAAAAGTGTGTATGTGAGGGATAAAGCTGGGGGGAACGAAACAGACCCTCCTGGGGAACAACATGTAATCACCTTCATTACAAGTCATCCTAACTATTAACATCTAAATATATTCCTAAATGTAAAATGTAAATATCAGCTATTATTCAGTTATTTATGTAAAGACTAACAAAATACAAATCAGTATGTTTGGTATCAGGTATGTTATCCCCTCACCCTTCCTTCTACCACCAAAAACTAAAATTTCCCTTTGTTCTATTTAACTTCTAAAATTCATTTCCTGTTCTTTTTTTAAATTATTTTTTAGCTTTAGGTGGACACCATCTTTATTTTATTTTTATGTGGTGCTGAGGATCGAACCCAGTGCCTCACGCATGCCAGGCAAGCACGCTACTACTTGAGCCATATCCCCAGCCCCTCATTTCCTGTTCTTAATCCAATACTATTTATTTTCTTCTCCTTCACATATGAACGGGATTGACCTGTCTGCATCCACACTTTATTAATATATAATAATACAGTATATTAATCACAGTACATAATATCATACATAGTGCAATTGTAAGTTAATCATTATATATGAATATTATATTAATATCATTGTATATTCACAATTTCTTCTTTTTTTTACCTATTTATTATAAATAAGTGAGTTGTGTATATCCACAAATAAACAGAGACAGGGAATCCTCCGGGAAAAGTTAGGTTGCTACATCTTAGGGAGTTGATTCTACCTCAACATAAAAGAAAAAAAAAAAATCACATTCTTTACGTATATAACAATTCAAATGTGTCATATAGTACATTCTTAATCAAATTACATACTTCAAAATGACACACTGGTGATTTAGGAGATTTTTATGTCTCTCCTTTTCCGTTTTTTGTAAAGAGCACTACTAATTGCAAAGTAGTTGACTGAACACTGGGAACAAGGACAAAGTCCATGATATGACAATCAGTGTCTATCCTGTTACTAAAATGATATATTGGTAGGCATCAGACTTCTGAGGCATCTGAATGTGGAAAAGGAAAGGTATGTTATTCAGCTTTTCATCTCAGTGATCAAAATATCTGACAAAAAAAATTTAGAGGCGGAAAAGTTTATTTTGGGTTCACAGTTTCATAGGTTCTGTCCATGGTTGGCCAACTCCATTGCTTTGACCCTGAGGTAATGAAGAATACCATGGCAGAAGGGTATGGCAGAGGAAGACTATCAATTCATGATAGCTAGGAAGCAGAGTGCAAGAGGAGCCAGGAACAGATATAGTCCAAGGGCATATCTCCAGTGACCTACTTCCTCCAGCCATGTCCTACCTGCCTTCAGTTACCACCCAAAAGTCCATTCAAAGTATTAATCCAAGTGGATCAATCCACTGATAAGGTTACAATTCTCATAATCTAACCATTTCACCTCTGAACATTCCTGCATTGCCTAACATGAGCTTTTCAAGGGACCCCTTATATCTAAACCGTAACAGAAGGGTTTAACTAAAAGTTATGGTGCACCCTCATATCCTTCAAGGAAAAGGAATTAAGCTGTAGCAGCCATGACTATCAAGAGTTATGACCTGGGGCTGGGATTGTTGCTCAGTGGTATCAATCCCTGATTCCCATAAAAGAGCTATTATATGCTCTACTCCACGCCTCAAAAGAAAAATTCACTTCAAAAGCCCCTGAAGAGTCCTTGATTTCCAATAACCTGCCATACTTAGGTTGCTGTATCTTACAGAGTTAATTCTACGTTAACTTAAAAAAAAAAAAAATCACATTAAAGTAAAATGACAAATGTCAACATTCCTGGCATATGTTCTTATCCTAGGTATGAAATGTAGGCACCAACTTTTCCCCCTTCCCTGACCAGTCCAAGATCCAGAACTCAAATTATCCATTGTGCTCTTCCCAAAGCAAATTTTAATTGCAAATTCACTGAGGGTAAAAGTGCAACTAAATGATTATCATTTACCTCCTTTGAACCTGATTAAGGTTCAAAGTTAAGATTAAGGTTAAATGTTTCCTAGATCATTAGCTTCTCCAAACTCCTGATGCTTAAGTTGATGCATCATTAACATGACAAGCAGGTCCCAATTATTCTGAGTTGTATCTGATGGACAGACCTTGAAAGAAGCCATACCAGTTCCTGTTCTAGGTAGAGGGTCAGGAAGTGTTCTTCTCCAAAGCTTCCCACATTTAAAACCTTACACAGCAATATGTGTATAATGATAATCAGTATTTATTATTATATAAGCATATTCCACAGAAAGAAAATAGTTCATCTGAAAGATAACAGGCTAAGAACCCTTTTCTGTTGCAGACCCTGGAAGGGTGAATTTGGAAGGAATGCTGGGCAAAAAAGAGCTAAGGTATTTGGAGCCTACTTACTTTTCTCCTCGATGTTCTTCCCTTCCTCGCCACTTTCAGAGGAACACTAGAAGGAAAATAGGTGTGACAAAACAAATTAAGAATGAAGTAAGATGGAACTCATACAGGGCTCCTAAACGACACCCACTGGAAGACAGGAGTCCCAGTCTCCCTCCCTTCTAGGCCTTCTTAGGGGCCAGAGCAATCAGATATCAGTTTGAAAGATAGCTATCTCCTTGGTGCCACCACTGCCACCTTCCCAGGTCTGTGACACTTAAGACCCGAGTTACCTGCCCAGTCGCCGAGGTTACCACCCAATGATATCTGTCATCTCACCCAGACCATCAGACCCACTTCGTTGGACCTACGTCCCTTGGGGCGTCTCAACACTGAGCTCCATCTCGAGTCCTTTTTATTTTATTTTGAGACAGGGTCTCACTAAATTGCTTAGGGCCTGGCTAAGTTGCCCAGGCTGGTCTTAAACTTGTGCTCCTCTTGCCTCAGCCTCCTGGGTCAATGGGGATTACAGGCTTGCGTCACCACGGCCCGCACAACTCGGTCTTGGAAGACCCTCCGGCTCCAGCCACGGGTACCACTAATTTCTAGGGTCACCTCACCCAAACAATCTCCCCTGGGAGATCTGTACCATCTGACTGGGCCACCAGCGTCCCCTCCCAAGGTCGCCTCACCGGGGCTGCAAGCACCTCGCAGATCTCGCCGGTCGGATGCATTCTGCCTCCGCGCGAGTCCTCGGCTCCACGTGCTGCCAGCTTGGTGTGTGGAGTGCGACTCCGGCCAGCGACAGACACCAGCTCCGACGCGGTGTCCCTAGGACTACGCGCCACCTCGACTTCCTCTTGCTGTCTCTCTGGTTCCTTCCTCTAGGCCCAGAGAGGCCATGGCAGCGTAGCCCCGGGCCGCGCTGTGGCACCACCTGCTGGCCGAGGGTCGGAATGGCCGCTCAGGAAGCGGGCGCCTGCCGGTAAGGTTCTGGGCTGGGGGAAGGGGCAATCCCTCTCAGCCACTGTAAAGCCCTTTGCTTGCTGGGAGCTGCTGATAATGTAGCTTGAAGGTATGCTTCCTCCACGCCATAGATTCTGTAAATCATTTAAATTTATATCTTAGACAATATTATGTTAGAGAGTGTGAGTAAGCTTATTAACTAAGAACTTAAAAGTAAATGTAGCTTATTTGGTTCGGTTTAATAGGAGATTTTCAAAGAATTTTAGTGAAAGGAAAGCGAGGAAACGGGGCCGACGACCGGGACCAGGCAGGGATACACACGAGAGTTTATTTAGAGCTGACAAATAAAGGCCATCTCTCCATAGGAGAGAGAGGCAACACAGGTTTGGGATTCGGGACTTTTATGGGGCAGGCTCAGGGATTAGACCCCGGTGAGTCCTATTGGGCAGTGAAGGTTGAAGTCAGTGGTGAGCCTTTCTCAGAACCCCCTTAGGTGGAAAAGCGAAAATTTTCCCAAAATGCAGCTGTCACTTAAGATGGCCATCCAGATGCTAAACAAGGACCTTACAGTTAGGATCTTTAATCTTTCTTTTAAGGATGATCAGATTCCTAGGGATAACTCTCTGGTTTCCTACCTGGAGAATGAGGCTCTGGTTGTAAACGTCCTAGGAGCTGACTAGAGGAAGAGCTTTCAACACCTAACATGCAAAGTTGCCCAGTGGAGGCCCCCCATCACCTGCTGATTGCCAGGGAGGAGGAATGGGAGTTCCTAGCAGCAAGGGTTGGTAAAGGAACCCGGGATTTGATAACTTCATAAACAAACTAATATGGAAGTACTGAAAGCAAAATGAATAAAAGAAAAGAATGGAGACGGACCTCAACGGATCAACCATCCTTTATTAAGCATTGGAGGGGCATATTTTTCAGGAGAGAAAATGGCAACTGGTTACAGTAGGGGTCTGAATTTTACAGGGTTCAGTGAAACTGAATCATAGCAGAATGTGTTGGTTGGGAAGTCTGAAGAATAACAGTAGACACGGGAAATTTTGAAAATCCAGGCCCATTGCCTTCCTTCTCTCCCTAGGACCCATTATCCTTTTTTACTTCGTGGGGGTTGGTTTTCCATGTCCTTCAAGTTCATAAAGATCAAAGCAAAAGAAAAAGCAACCTTGGAGGAAACAAATTCTTCAGTGAGGAGAAAATTGAAATATATGTATTGGATATACTATGAGTTACAACTGCCAACATAAAATAAGAATAGGAGAGTATTTTATTTTATTTTTTTAAACATTATTTTTTTTTAAGAGAGAGAGTTTTTTTTTTTAATATTTACTTTTTAGTTTTCGGCGGACACAACATCTTTGTTTGAATGTGGTGCTGAGGATCAAACCGGGCTGCACGCATGCCAGGCGAGCGCGCTACCGCTTGAGCCACATCCCCAGCCCTAGGATAGTATTTTAAAAGGAGGATTCAGAGACCAATTATACACACATACACACACACACATACACATACACACACACGCACACACACATACAGAAATGAAAAGCCCAATGCCTGAAAGATAGATGGTGGGAAATATCCTGGGGGGGCGGGTGGTTGGGGGGAGCCATTGAACAAAATAATTCAAGAAAGTTACACAAAACTGAAAATCATGTGTTTCCAAATTGAAATGCACCAACTGTCTTGCACAATTCATAAAAATTGATTTATTCCATGGCTCATCCCTCTGAAATTGTAGAACATTGGGGACAAAAAGACTTTCAGAGAGAGAAACTATTCACTAACCCAACTATAATGTATAAATATAAAGCTCTAATTAAAATAAGAAGAAGAAAGAAAACTGATCATTTACAAAGAATAAAAAATCAATCCAGAAAAAAAGGTCCAATCTATAACCTCAGTTATTCAGGAGGCTGAGGCAGGAGGATGGCAAGTTCCTCAACAACTTTGTGAGACTCTATCTAAAAAAATAAGGGAATGGAGTTACAGTGATGCTGCCAGTTACCAGTGCCGAGTTTTGCTTCCTCATGTGTTGAAGTATGACATTAGAGAAGCATGCAGAGGCAAGCATATAAATCAGGGTTTATTTAAAAAGGGGTAACAGACTTCTGGGAAGAAGAAGGGGGGCCAAAGGTGGTATCCTAGTATCCCAAGAAGTGAGGGTGTTCTGCCTTTTTAATCTCCTAGGCTTCCTTTGTTCTCCTGCTCTGTTTTCCCCATCTTTCTCTTTCCTGTGTAGTGACTAGGCCCAAGAGATGTTCAGTGGGATCTCCAAAAGGTGAGAAGTAGATGAGCTGGAAGGGCCAAGGTGGAGTGATAGGGGCAGGAAGTGGGGCGTAATTAACAACTCCTTATAAGAAAGGACAATCCCTGGGACAGGTTACCTTAGCAACAGGTTAGAGCAGGGGCAGGTTATCTTGATAAGGGTAGAGGAAGGGCTCTGAAGGAAATAACATTTCTATTCCCCCATTTTCTGGATCTGACCCTTGCCTATCTGCCTGTCTAATTCTGGCTTCAATAGCACAGTAGTAAAGTGTTTGCCTAGTATGTTCAAGGCCCTAGGTTTGAACCCAGCACCACCAAAAAATAAAAAGGACTGGAGATTTAGTTCAGTGGCTAAAATTAAAAAAAAAAAAAAAAGAAGAAGAAGAATCAATATTGTTGGATTTCTCAGAGCAACAAAGAGGACCAAAGAGTAATTTCATCAAGTATCTAAAGGAAATTTATTTAAAACTAGAATGCTATATTTGATTAGTAACCCATCACTCGAGTTTGGGATTAGAATAAAGGCATATTCAGACATTCAAGATCTCAAAACTTGACCTTTCATTTACCTTTTCTTTCTCAGGAAACTACTGAAGGTTATGTTCCCCTAAAATGAGAAAGTAATCAATGAGAAAAGACATAGTGTCTTAGTCTGTTTTCTGTTTCTATAATACCACAGACTGGATATTTTATAAAGAATAAAGGTTTGGGGGCTTGGGTTGTGGCTCAGTGGGTAGAGTGCTCACCCAGTATGTGTGAGGCACTGGGTTCGATCCTCAGCACCGCATAAAAATAAAATAAAGATATTGTGTCCATCTATAACTAAAAAATATTTTTTTTAAAAAAAAGGAAGAAAGGTTTCATTCAACTCACAGTTACTGAGACTGAGCAGTCCCAGATTAAGGGGTAGCATCTGGTAAAGGACTTGCTGGTGTAGACTCTGCCAAAGTCCCAAGGCAGCACAGACCATAACATGATGGTAAAAGCAGCTCAGATCTAAGAGTCAGAACAAGATGATCTTTATTAACAGATCCATTCTTTTAAAGGCCTTCCTGGTACACCTTCTTCCCCCCCACCACCCTTTTGTGGTCCCATGGGTCAAATTCAGAGCCTCTTACATGCTAGGCAAGCTCTCTACCACTGAGTTACATCTACAGCTCTGGTCTCACCTCTTAATACCTCACAAACAGGGATTAAATGTTAACACAAGTTTTGGTTGAAACATTCAAACCATAGCACATAGATGTAGGAAACAGGGAAATGAAGTGAGATTCCCTGTCAACAAGTGTGTACTAGGCATGGATTATTGCAGGTCAGAAGGCTCCAAAAGAAGCTTCTCCAGATAGATGAAACTGATAGAATACCTCGCCTAATCAAACATCTGGAGGGGGAAATTTAAACAATCATTAAGGAATAGGGGGTTGGCTTAGTAATAAAAAATAAACCAAGAGAATATTAACTACAGCAAAAATAAAAGCCTATGCAGGAGAAAGAGAAGTAATTATAGTTTCCTACTTGCCCAAGATGAGAGTGATAGTTACGTCATTATAATGAAGTAAACACAATCTAAAGAAAGCATAATATAACTATATTGAGCAAATGGAGGGATGGGAAATATAGTGGAGACATGAGAAGGAAGGAAAACTAAGGCTTTTTTTGGCCATTATCAATAGATAATGCATAAAAGTGAAAAATTTAAAAATAGCAATACAACATGTTATATAGAGATGGAGATAAATAATCAGTTAAGAGAAGAAAAATGACTGCCTTTGAGAAGGTGGATACAGGTAAGAAGAGGGGAGGAATAAGGATACAGGTTTTGCTGTTTCATTGCAAACTTTGCAATGTGTCTATAGAATTATTTGCCTTTTAATCACAGACATGCATAAGTCTGATAAAAATTTAAAGATTAAATCAAAGGAGAAAAGACACTTCCCTGAACTCAAAATTTTGCCTCTGAAAAAAATCATAGACATGGAAACAAATAAGTTAGGATTGAGTATAAAGCTTAACAACAGAAATGTTTGTAATGACTGAGGGAGTACAGAGAAAAATTAATTGCTATCTGGGGTGTGGAAAAAGACGTCTAAGATGGACAGAATACTAGGCAATCATAGGTGGAAAGAAGATATATGATAGGCACTTAGGAATGCATATACTGCTGGTGTAGAGTTAGAAGCAAGATACTCAATATCGTATATAATATAAATGAAGTTTTAAAGTAGAGAACATTTGACTGTTAAATGACCAGTAAAGTGTGTTAGAGTAGGGGAGAGGCTTTGAATGCTTCTGAGTTATTTTAACAATAAAAGCCAATGGAGTCATCCATTTTGGAAAACAGAAAATTAAAGATGCACATTTCACCTGGACCCTATGTAAGGCAGGTTTGACTAACATGCAAACAATTTTTAAGTTTTAACCATGGACCCAGCCAATAGCCAAAGAAATGTGAAAGGTCTTTCCCCTAAACACATTTGTGAAGAGTTTGCACACAATCTCAGAAATTTTTAGAAAAATTTCATGTTTTTAGATCAGTTTTAGTTTATAGCACAATTGATAATTAGTTTCAGAGATTTCCCATATATCTCCTTCCCTGACACATGCATAGCTTCCTCCACCATCCACAGCCCTCACCAAAGTGGTACCTTTGTTACAATTGATAA